TTTTTAAAAACTAAGCTTATTAAAATATTCTTCGTAGAAATTTAGATAATCTACTGTGTAAAGCTCCATTACGTAACTTTTCAGATATTTCGGGGGAAAAAAATCATTTACCACAATATTTGAAACACGTTCAATATCAAACTCTATGAACGAAATAAAAAAATAAAAATATAAACACTATTAAACTTTCAGAAGCACTCAAATCAACAATATTTGTAAGATAAACGTAGAAATTTAAACTAATAACTGTGGGACAGTTACGTTAATGGAATATGTTACGAAAAGGAACTGCTTAGGGTGTATATACACCTTTTTGCCATTAGTACTAAATAATACTTAATTACTATCTTATTAAAAGTTTTTGTCTACAATTCAGTCTTCATTAAAATACTTATAGTTATTTAAAAATGCTCTTAAGATTAATGACTAATAAAATTAAAAAAAAATATTCAAGAGTCAGTTTGTAAAAACAATTCACACGCTGAAATATTTTTAGCTATTTGAGTCATCAAAACTAAAAATATTTCTGCGTATGAAATATATATTAAAAAAAAGAACAAAACAATAAAGAAACAATACTTAAAGTTCTTATAATATTAATAATATTTTAAGGGTTACGTTTTGGCATAAAATTAAAAATTCAAAAGATCAATTTCTACTTAGTGTAATACTTTTATAAAATATAGGAACTTAAAAAATCGTCCTAAAAGGAAAAGTAAAGTTGCAGCCTATTTACGTCCCACTTCTGGGCACAGGCCTCCTCTCATTTCTGAGAGGGTTTTAGGGCAAGGAAATGTCCGCAGCGCTGCCTCGTCCTACTAGTAAGTAAAATGTTTCTTAATTAAATCGAAAAAAAAAAATTCTTTTTTTTTTCGATTTAATTAAAGCATTATTTGAAAAACGTTTGTTCTTCTTCAAACGATTACAAATTTTAATGTGTCTTGGTTCAGAAGTCTTACTTTCTTCGTTTTCTTTCTTCAGAAGATATTTTCTTTTCTTTTTTGCTGTTTTGATTTTTATTTTGATTTCTCCACTGTCTTCTTTTTTGACATTTTTTCACTCGTTCTAATTCTTTTTTTGCAAACTTCATACTTTCCTTTATCTTTTTTCTTTATATTTTCTCGGAATCGTTTTGCCCGTTCGGCCCCTGTGATAGGCATTCTGTTTGGCAGGTAGTTTTGAAAAGATAACTTTTAAAAGTATCTGAAAGATGAAAAAAACATACTTTTTTAGCTGCAGACATATTCAGACAAACTACCTGCTCTAACTCAAAGCCAGACATGCCCTTATAATTCCGTTACGTTTCTTCTTCGTCAAAATTCGTTCCGTTAATACATAACGTAACGTAATTGATGTTACGAAAAGTGGGCTTGAAATTGAAATCTATCATTTTTAAGTAAAAATTAATGAATATAAAGGCTTTCATGTTACAAATTATCAATATTATACTGTTTTAAGAGAAAATTAAGGAAAAACAAAACATAGAATCCTTCTCACCTGAGAAAACACGAATTTGTAATGGAACAAAATTTTGTCACACACAATCACCACCGCGTTTCGTAGCGAACTACGCCAAATTGGCAGATAAGGCGTTCAAACTTTGTTTGACGTTTACTTTGAAATGTTACCAGAAGTGCGAAAAATCTACAAATTTAATATAAATTCACTTTGTAGTACCTGTTACATGCGTTACGTAAAAGAAATTTCCGCAAACCTTGCTTTTGAGAACAATAATTAAAATTAACAGCGCAGTTTTCCTATGGTCATTTTATTTGAAATCCGCTCTTTTGTCAAGTTTTGTTATTATTTTTTATTTATAATTCTTGCCATACTGACAATTAAATTTATACTGAAATTCATGATGGCTGTCAATGGGGTAATATCAGTCGTCACGTTGGTTATCTTGTAGGGAAAACAGGGGCAATGTGACCATATGTGGCAGGTTCCTGCCATTTTGGCAGAATTGTCCATTTATTTTAGCGTTTGGCACGATCGGTTAACGTTTTATAAAACCTGGCAGTATTGAGGTATTAAAATTTATTTCATTATGGCAACTTAAAATGACGAAAATGGCAACCCTAGATACTTCGCCAGCATGTTGGGGGATTTCCCTATATTTCTCGATTTCTCGTATTATGTTTGTATCACATTTAATAAACAACTTTATTTTTTTTTAATTAATGCGAGTTGGTTAATATTTCAATCAGTCATAAAAGAAACATACTTTAGTTTGGTATCGCCTTAGATTTCATGGTCCTCGAAATATTAATAACAAGATTACATCATGATAGTAATTATATGTGACGGTGATAAAACTAAAATATGAGAGAGCTTATAGTGGAAGCAAGATAAAGATGATCCAGTTTAAAGGAGCATGCCGTTACTAGTAAACATCAAAAAAATATATGTGCATTCAACATGCGAAAGAATATTTTCTCAAATAAATTTAATTATGACAAAAACACGAAACAGATTTATAAACAAAAGCGTCTAAACTATCTTGTACGTTAAACAAGGCATTGATGAGCATGGCGATTGCATTGCATTCAAACCAACGAAAGATATGTTTAAGGGTTGGGCTTAGAATCAAGTCGCCTGAATTTGAGGAGTCTGTCACTTTGGGAGGGTCAAGGGTGCTTATCTCAAGAGCCCATGCAATTTTAGCTGCCGGAGCTGCGTCGAAATATTTAATATAATTTTCTAAAAATATTCATAAATCACTAATTAATACCTGAAACGGAACTTTTGTCATTGACAGTAATCAGTAACAGATATACTCGACCAAAGAGAATATAATCATTACGTTTATACTCAACTTCGCGACTTGCGTCATAAGCGTCATTCCGTTGCTTCCGAGTTTACGTGAATGTGCTCCGTATTGTATCTGTATCTGCCTCCTGTTTTTGGACGACTTCGCTACCCCTCTGGAGACCGATTGCTTGCTATTTTACGACTTTTTTGAAATGGTGGAAGTTAACATTTTGGTGTTTTATTTGGTGCAAGAGCGAGTGAAGCGAGCTCGGGACTTGGGCACCCCGACTCGGACAGGTTAGGTTAGAAGGAGATGGCGGGATCGAGTGAGCGAGCGAACAGACCCTCCCCCAACTCTCTGCCCCCACAAATCATGTTTTATTGTCAAAAACATTACGAAAACATAACCTCAAAATGAGATTTTTAAGGATTTATAAAAAAAACTAAGCACGTCCAGCAGGAAATGGAAGTGGGGGGTGACTCTACAACTCCCCTCACCCTCCCCCCACTACCCCTATACCCAAACCTTACGCATGTTTAATTTTAAAAAAATATAGCAATTATACGTGTATTTTTACTTTTCTTAGTTCAATACATTGGTAAATAAAGTTGGCAGTATTTAGACATTTTTCACTACAGACTTTGGCAGGATTTGGCAGGTTTTTAACCAAAGTTAGGCAGGATCTGTTTTTAAAGATGATCACCCTGAACAAGGGTTACTTAGGCTAGCCGCACACACACACAATAATATTGTCAATACAAGATTGTCAAAAATCTTCATCAATATATGGTTTCGCACACTACGCAATATTATTGACAATTTTTCATGGTAAAATCTGACTTAGTCGCTCTGCAGCTGGATTCATGTGTGCACGCTTAATATAACGGATAGAAAGAAAAAAAGGCGTAACATTAAGTATTGCATTTATTTTACTAGAGCAATCAAGAAAGAAACCATGGATTATTCTTTCTTTTTTTCATTCTTTTTTTCTATACGTCTTCTCTCGTGCTATTTGGTTTGATTTTTTTTATAAATATCGAGCAACTTATCAAGCGCATTATTTTTCCTAACTTTATCGCGAGCTGCTTCGCAGGATATATTTCATTATTCTGGATAAGTTTCCCATGTTTTAACAAATACTGACAAACATTGCTTTTGCGTGAGAGTACTATCACTTTTATGGGGCAATGTATACGCTTTTACAACAGAATCCCAGAACATGTTCAAAGTTTGTCAATAAACAAGATAAAAGTTTTATTAAAGAAAAACTGTACAAAAAGGGTTATTATAATATCAAGGAATACATGAATGAAAATAACCCCTGGGAATAAGGTGATCGCCACCATGCTGGTTCTATGAAAATTCATTTAAAATTGTATAAACAAAATTATTGTTAAATGAAATTATGTTTAAAAAAAAAGTCCCGCTGGGTTTCTTGCTGGTTCTTCCCAGGACAGAGGTATTTTCCGAACCAGTGGTAAATAAAATAATGACTTTCAATAAGTATTATGTAATAATCCATATTGAATAAAAATCATTCTATTCTATTCTATTCTATTCTATCATTAACACTATTTTCACTGTTTTCGTCCTCCATTTTGAACAAAAACGAACGACTGCCTCCCTTGAAATCTTTTCCTCAAATAAGATATTGACGAGCGCCCGCAAACGACAATATTATTGACAATACCCCTGCCTCCCCCCAATATTGGCGTGACAAAATCAGAATTTCTGGATATCCACAATAATATTGAACAATATCGCAATACAGGCCGCAAACACACTATATTATTGACAATATGTACTTTATTGTCAATATTATTGTGTGTGTGTGTATAGTTAGCCTAACGGTCATTTGATTATTCCTAATGTTGATATTAGAATTAGAAGTGTGGGTTCCAGTTTGTCTATACTTCTGTGGGCAAAAAAGGATTTGCTGCGTTCCGAATGTATGTGGCTGGTCTTAAAAGACAAGCATCTAAGCCAAAAGTCTTAATAATAAAAAACAATCCATCATTCAATGCGTTTTTTCATTATTGTGATCCGATTTTCATAAAAAATCTTAAATCTTCTACTAAAAAGTACGCACAAAACATTTTTAAGAAATTTAAAAATTAGAACTATATAAAACTGAAATACATTTCTTCATTCCAGGGTAACGCAAATTGTTTCAACAACAATTTGGTATTTCCGTGAGTCATAGGTTGGCCTTTAATTATTATCAATATCAATATTTTGTTCATTCTAGATGTCTTCAGGAAGACCTATCAAGTGTGTAGTCGTTGGTGATGGAACTGTTGGAAAAACTTGTATGTTAATATCGTACACAACCGACAGTTTTCCAGGCGAATACGTGCCTACAGTGTAAGAAAAGTTTATTCATATTCGATTCTTGTATTTTATTCACAGCTCATGTAAAAACTTATTTATTTAATTTATGGTGCACATTTCGCTCAAATTGAAACCTAGCAATATTTTCAGATTTGATAACTATTCAGCTCCCATGGTAGTGGATGGTGTAGCTGTATCATTAGGACTTTGGGATACAGCGGGACAAGAGGACTATGATAGACTTAGGCCATTAAGCTATCCACAAACAGATGTCTTCCTTATTTGTTTCAGTGTAACAAGGTAAATTTCTGGTTTAAATAAGCAAAAGATTTTCAATCTATATTAATTTTGTTGTTCTTGTTTTTGGTTTCTTTATTTTAATTGTATTTCATACAACTTCATTGTGATTTTACAGTCCATCATCTTATGAAAATGTTACATCTAAATGGTATCCAGAAATCAAGCATCATTGTCCTGACGCACCAATTATTTTAGTGGGTAAGTAAAGCCATTTTAATAAAAAGTTAGTTTCTCTTTTATTTATTAAATATAAATTAACTTGCAAAATTATAATACCTTTTCTATAAAACGGAAATGGGTTAAATTTGCTTTATAATATAGAATAGGCCATTAAAATAAGTGAATTACTAAATTTAAATAGTTATATAATGTTGGTTTTTACCAAACTAGCTTAGAAGTTATGTTTTACAGATGTAGGGTTGGCTATAGATGTCCAATACTTCACTTTAATTATGTTTTCAGCTTAGGAGGCTTGTCAGGGTTAAGCTTGAATCTTTTACAGTTTTTTGGATGTCCGATATGGGTTTTGAATTAATTACGATTAAAATAAATTTAACTAAGATTGCATATAACAAAATATAAATATGTAAATTTTTTTTAACACGGGTACACCCATAAAGAAGTTAATGAATAATGAAGAAGTTAATGAAATAAGGTAATGAAATATCAGCACGACTAGCATGGGCTGGGGATAAAAAATTTATCCCCCAATTATATCCACTGACAAGAGATAAAATTATCTTGTCCTTATGCCAAATCATGGCAACGGGAAGAAGTGTATCCCCCATCCGTAGCATGGAGTCAATTTCTTTTTGGACATTTGAAAGAAACAATTTTATTCTAGTTAATTGGACATACGTTTAAGTTTATATTCATACAAGAAATCTATCTAAGTCTTATCTCCCATTTTATCTCCTATGGATATTATATCCACCAGTGTGCCGATGCTCAAAGGGTGGATAAAACTGAGTGCGGGGATAAACATTTTCTCCTTTCCCTGTGGATAAAATTGTCTCCTGCCCATGCTAGCCCTGCTGAGTTGGTACACATACACATCAAATTGAGTCACAGTGGAGAGTAGTCAAGAGGTTTTTCAGAAAACAAAATTGTAACAATTCACATTACATTTTTTCTTTTACCACCATCATAGCAAAGTTTAGGGCTACCTGACTATTAATAAGGCAGGTCGAATCTGTTTTAAAACCAAATCAGTAAGTTCCAACTTCACATAGCCTTATCTGCCCTACCCCTAGTGTTTTTGTAAAGCCGTAGGTCTTCAGCGACCAGCCTCAGCCCTTAAGTTATAAGTGTCTACAATTTACTACACAAGGGTGAAGGGTCTGCACTTCCCACAGCACCGAAGCCTTTGCAGAAGTAATTAGTTCAATATTCCTGTGTAAAAAAGTGAGTTTATGATTTTACAAAATAAAATCATTACCCATAAACTATACTTCTCCTCAAGGGGGGAAGGGGTAGGGGCTTTCCCTGAACTTACCCTCTCCCCCTTTTTGTAAATTCTATTGAAAGACCCTACTGTTGCTCCAAATGTTTAGTGTTTTGGTTCTGATGGCTGCTGAGGTAGCTTCTTGCATGTGAAGGTGAACCTGGTTTAACTCCAACATAGCCTCTAGGGCTGCCGTTGGAGTAGTCCTCAAGCAGCCATTGTCAGCTATTAAGGCTAATCTCTGCTATCACTAAAGCTCCTTAATAGTGGTGGCTTCAATTGTTTAGTTTACTATACCATCCGACCCATGATCACATATGGATGTAATCATGGGTGGGATTACCATTTAGTACAACCACAGTATGATTGTGGGCGACAGACCCCATCACTTGCCAATCATGCTTCTGCATTACCATAAGGTTATACTAGCCTTGTTGATTTTGTTGTATATGAGTTTGTTCCAGTTGAGCTTGCTGTACAAGGTTAGACCGAAATATTTTACCTCAGAAGTTGTAGAAAATGATAGTTGTTCATCATTTGTTTTTAAGCTTTTGTACGATTGTTGACCATATCTACCTAGTAATTAAAAACCCAACGATGCCACAAACTATTACATAGTGCACTTAATTTCGAATTATTTACATCAGATAATGTGATAACATATGAAGTTGGAAAAATGAAACTAATGCCAACAGACACCCAATATATTCAACTAAAGAGCTTCTCTCCTAATTTCAGTTTTGTATACACAATACTGGATACTGTGAACACAAAACACACATGTTGTTAGTCATTTTGCCAAATGTGGTAATTGAGGTAAGTCATCCCTATAATGGCTACCGGTCCAAATATTTTTAAGTGTGACAATTTTTGATGCTCCACGAATAAGTATTCATCAGCATTCTAAAATTTAATGTTATCAGTTACCTACTTATCATTAGTTTATTTAGCGGAAAGTAGAGGGCGCTATATTACATTAATATGGCCACGGAGCCGTGGCGCAGTGGTTTAGCAATTGAGTTGCAGCGCTAAGGACCGTGGCTTCGAATCCCACACGGAACAAGTATTTGTATGGCCTACAAATAATTGTTCTAAACTGCCCCCACGATACAGGAGAAAATCCTATTCTGGAGGTCAAGTTTTTTTTCTAAAAAAGAAAAAAGAAAAATACTATTAAAGTCAAAACTATACTATCTAGTAATATCAGCTATAGAAGGTTGGGGTGCGACTGGCTCAAGAGCCACCCCAAAGCCGGAAACATTTATTTATTATATAAAAAAGGCTTATTGGGATGTTGATCTTGTCTGTTAAAAACAGGCTATCAGCGCCGCTAGCGGTGAAAAACTATTTGACGATATAACCATATTATCATGAAATAGCAATGTTTTGTTTAGTTATTAACCGGTTCAGTGCGGATGACACGTCAGTGTGTGGCGTATTGGACGCGAGTCGTGTCTTTTTAAAAATCGTTATAACTCGCTCAAATTACTTTTTTGGAAGATTTATCCAGAACAAAATATTCATTATTTTGCAAGTAGTTCATGCCTGCAGCTTCGTTTCTGGATATTTTAAACATTTGAATTTTTTAGGGGTTGACAACCTTTTTTTAACTTGTACATGGTTCTCTTTTTACTTTGTCGGTTTTAAATCACGTTGTGGAAGAATAGTCTAATAAGTAACAAATAATAGCACTCATTGCGATCGCTCACAAACTAAATTTGTAAATAAATTTCTGGAAAACAAGTCTCCTGTTAAAATATAACAATGCGTTTGTCTTATTGTTTAAGTTTGCTTAAAATGGTTGAACTGCCGTCTTATTACTATCATATGGCCGAATAGACCTACGAAGTACCATGTGCTCTTGTGATATGGTATAAGGTTTACTTTTGCTTGAAACAGTTCGAAACCGTTCTTGCATAAAAAAAAGTCTTTTGTCAATCCGCCGCCGTATAGCGCCAGCGTTTTTTTCCTTTTGAAAACACTTGTTTTGCTATTCTTACTAATTAGACGTTTTCAGATCGACTTTACTTTTACATTTGTATAACGTTAAATAATATTTAATATTTGTAAATATCAATGAATCATAAACCTTATTTTTTTCCAAATTAAGGTTCTTCATTGTTTGATATTTACAAATTTTTTATTAGGTGAAAATTTAATTTAATAAAAACCAAGGTTTTCCAGAGTGATTTAGCTGTACCTACTTATATAAATTATTTTTTTATAAAACCAAAAATAGTACAAAAGGTTTATGATTCATAAAAAAATCTCTGCATAAAAAAAGTCACTACCTCTCAATTTCAAAGAAAACACGTATTTACCCACTAAAAACAAGTATCCTTCCGTTTGCAACTGATGTTTTATGTCAACTAAACTTAATTAGGTTAGGCATAAAAAAGAACATTTACACATGGCTGATGACACACCTATTGTGCCACTTTCGTGGCGCTTGCTGTGGCGCTTGACACGACAGGTGTGTCGCGAAATATTTCACACACAGCTAAAAGTTGTCGAAAATCGGCGCCGCAACGAATCGGTTAATATTGTTTAACGGTCTCTATTCATTGATTTGGCTAAGCTATATGATGACGTGGTCAACAAACAATGATATCATGAAATGACACCATTTCACGAATTACTGAAAATTATGCAATAATTGCAGGCAGACCAGTTTTAATCAGTTTACATACAGATATAGTATCAAACGTATGAAAATTGATGTTTTTAGTTCAAAAGAATATTTCATACTGTTTATCATTTACATACATTTTTCATACTTTTGATAGATGTCACTATTATCTATTATTTTTAAGTTTTAATTATTTCACTTTTAAAATGAAATAACGATTAAATTAAACGTTAGGATTTTTAAATAATTTTATTAATGTAATTATTTAAACATATAAATGTAAGTTATTTATATTATTTACTTTATTAGTTACTAAAGACAAAATATAGTCTATTTTCTTTTGATGATAGATGGCACTGTTTTGATAATTAAAGCTTATATCGTCAGTAGAGTTTCAAATTGTTATGCAAAGGTTAAAACTAATTTTTAACTTTATTTACAAATATTATATTTATTTGAAAAAACACCCGTCAACCCACCTATTAAGTAACATAATCATATATATTAGAAAATTAACATCTAAAGGAAGATAGATACTTAACCTTTTTTCTTAAGTTCGGTATTCGGATAAAAAGTAACCCCTATAAGTTGCCCCGGGTTACTAACTACCTACATACTACCTGGGCTGACGCATCAACGTCTCGGGATTTAAACACCAGCGCACTTAAAAAGAAGTATAATTCCGCCTCCAGGTCCTTCCAAAGCGTCATTGCCAAGGCAAAGTCTGAGCACATCGGCAGAATTGGCGAGAAGCTAGTTCGCCTTCCTTCGGGAACCCGTGCATTCTGGTCTCTCGCCAAGACTGTCCAAGGGAACTTCTGTCAGCCATCTCTTCCATCTCTGCACAGAGAGGACGACTCACTGGCCCATGCCGCAAAAGAGAAAGCCGATCTGTTGTGCTCTCTTTTTGCGTCTAACTCGACTCTAGATTACGGGGGGAACACACCGCCGACCATCCCGCGATTTGAGTGCTCCATGCCGGATGTGCGATTTACACAGCGCTCGGTTCGCAAAGCACTCTTCTCCCTGGACGTCAGCAAGTCGAGTGGGCCCGATGGAGTCCCTCCCATTGTGCTGAAGACGTGTGCTCCAGAGTTGGCACCGGTTTTAACGCGTCTTTTCCGGTACTCCTACTCCCAAGGCGTAGTCCCGAATTCATGGAAGACAGCTTTGGTCCACCCGATCCCTAAAAAAGGCGACCGCTAAGACCCGTCCAACTACAGGCCTATCGCCATCACCTACTTGTTCTCCAAAATAATGGAATCCATTATAAACTGCCAGCTCATGAGGTACCTTGAGGATCACCAGCTGGTCAGTGACCGCCAGTACGGGTTTCGTCGGGTTCGATCAGCAGGTGATCTTCTAGTTTACTTAATTTATAGATGGGCGGAGGCAGTAGAGTCCAAGGGGGAGGCATTGGACGTTAGTTTGGACATAGCGAAGGCCTCCGATCGGGTCTGGCACAAGGCGCTTCTTTCGAAGCTTCCTTCCTATGGGCTTCCCGAGAAATTGTGCAAATGGATCACCAGTTTCCTTGCTGATCGGAGCATCAAGGTCGTAGTAGACGGTGCATGCTCTGATTTCAAGCCATTCAACGCTGGTGTTCCACAAGACTGCGTGCTATCACCAACGCTGTTTCTCCTGCATATCAATGATATGTTGCTAACTGGTAGCATTCATTGCTATGCAGACGACAGCACTGGGGATGCCTTATGTACCGGCCGTGCCAATATTTCTCGGGATAACGTCGCCGAGTACCGGAACAAACTTGTGTCTGAAGTCGAGTCTTTGCTGAACAAAGTCTCGGATTGCGGGCGACTAAATCTAGTCCAGTTCAAGCCCCAGAAGACACAAGTTTGCGCGTTTACCGCTACAAAGAACCCCTTTGTCGTATCTTCTCAGTTTCAAGGCACTCCCCTTCTTGCCTCAGCCAGTATCGGTATCCTCGAAGTCGACATATCGAGTGACGTGCAGTTTCGTGGTCACTTGGAAGACAAGGCCAAATTGGCCTCTAAAAAGCTTGGCGTGTTCAGCAGAGCGGGACAGTATTTCATGCCGGCACACCGCCTGTAACTTTACAAGCCGCAGGTTCGGCCTCACATGGAATACTGTTCCCATCTCTGGGCAGGGGCTCCCCAGTGCCAGCTCCTTCCACTTGACCGCATCCAGCGCAGAGCGATTCGAATCGTCGACGACCGAGTTATTTGTGATCGGCTCGATACACTGGTACTGCGTAGAGATGTTGCATCTCTTTGCGTATTTTATCGCATCTATCACGGGGAGTGCTCTGAGGAATTGTTCGGACTAATTCCAGCCGCTCAATTTCACCATCGCACATCGCGACAAAACTCGCGCTACCATCCAATCTGGATGATTGGCGGTCCACCACTGTGCGAAAGTTTTCTCCCTCGCACAACTTTTTAAATTATGGCACGGAAATGTTCACGCGTGAGCTCCATTGCTGTTAACGACGTATCAACTTTAAACCAACATAGTTTTTGTTTTTAAACATTTTTTTTAATTGTTTGAATGTCATTAAGATTCTAAGAGTCAGTATTCAAATTCTAAAAAAGGTTTTATTGTAACTCAATCCGAAATATTCTATTCCCGATCATTTCAGTTTGCCCCTCCGTATGAAACAACTTTCGTCCCATCGTTTGTCTTTCCAACTGTATTTGTAAGTTCTATTTCTGTTATTAATTAGATAAATGAAAAATATATGTATAGTGAGAAAGGGTAAGGTGATCAAAACATAGGTATTATTTTGTGTAGGTATTTCACCCGTTCAAAACGTGAAGTCGTTATAACTACACGTTAAAGATTTATTTTGAGTTACAGCCTGACAAAAATGTCTACATCGAGAACTAAAATTAATTTTACTTCTTAATATCACTTTTTTCATACCCACAAGTACTTTTGTGCCAAACTGTTGTTCAAATTTTGCGTGAATAAAACCTAGAATAACATGCCCAAAGGTTAAAACAGGAATTTAAAAAAAATAGACTGTATAAAAAACGTTTACTGAAGAGTAGTTTTATATCCTATATTACTTCTATAACTTAGACATTTCTAACGGCACCACGAATGTTAAGATCCATCATACAGAGCGTGCCAAAGAAATGGACATACCATACACTCGAAAAACATTTTCTTCCTTCTGAGACATTCAGATAAAAAAAGGGAAAAATCAGTTTTTTTTTTTCACTTTTTTTAATGAAACATGTTCGTTCACTCTAATCTCCAAAACCGCTCAACAAATTTTTCACAAGATCTGCCTATTCAGCTAGATTCCTATTTATGTATATCCAGAAAGACTAGGCTTCAACATGTGAAATAACTTTATGGATCGGATCAATAGTTACTTAGCTTACCTCTAATAAACTCAAGCTGTACCTTCTTTGTATATTAGTGTTCTTCACGAATTTTAATATTTGTTTTTTTTTTTTCAAAAACAGGAACAAAGATTGACTTAAGAGATGACAGAGAGACATTAAGCCTGCTTTCTGAGCAGGGGATGTCTCCGTTAAAAAGAGAGCAGGGACAGAAGTTGGCTAACAAAATTAGAGCTGTTAAATACATGGAATGTTCAGCCTTGACACAACGTGGTTTAAAGCAGGTGAGCTTCTGCTTGACTATAAATATTTAACAATATGTTTTTGTTTTTTACGCGTAACAATGTTCTTACGCCGGTTTTCACCTCGGTGACAATCTTTAGGTTTTATTGGGAATTGTATTCAATACAGGACATCCTTATGTAATGTATAAATGTTATAAGCACACACACAAAGTTTCAACACGCGGAAACGCGTAATTTTTGAGAAAAGAATTATTGAAAATCAATTATTCTTGCAATGTTTATGTCTAATTCTACCGTAAAACTAGCGTCATTTTGTAATGTCAATGGCGACGTCAATATGGATGTCGATTCTTTCCGAAAAAGGTCGATTTTTAAATCGATTCAAATCGTAAGCTGATGTATCGATTCACAAAAAATCGATTTCTAAAATATCTATATTTTTTATGTTTCTATTTATAGTGTAAACATAAACCCATTTTATGAAAAACAAGAAAGATACCATGATAAATGACCTATTATAGGGCAGATAACAAATAAAATAGGTTAGGTTCAACTTATGTCAAAGAACCGAATTGATTGACCCCGACTCCACCTGGTACGAGTCTGTCCTACCCCTAAAGTGGTTTTATAGAGCCGAAGGCGCGTAGGGGGAGCAGCCTAGCCTGCTGTAACAAATCGTAGGCATCGGACGAGGCGGAGCGGCTAAGGCTGGTGGACCAACAAGCCGAAGCTGCGGAGGCGAGGAGAGATGCCTGCGATTTGTTACGCTAAGGCGTAGAGGCTTCTCTTCCCGCAGCGCCGGAGACGTAGCAGTCCCAAAATAGATACAGAAATCCTTCTGAAACAGTCCCCTTATTTTTTTATGACGAAGGGAATTTTTTTCTCATAAAATGGATATATATTTCCATTATAAATGCAAACATGAAAAAAATATAGATATTTTAGAAATCGATTTTTTGGGAATCGATACATCAGCTTACAATTCGAATCTATTTAAAAACTCGATCTTTTTCGGAAAGAATCGACATCCCTACTGACAATAATAATAAAAAATGGCGTCAGTTTCATAGTAGGTAGGAATTGACATAAATATTGCAAAAATATTTGATTTTCAATACTTTTCTCTCAAAAAGTACATGTTTCCGCATATTGAAACTTTGTGTGTGTGCTTATAAAAATGTAATCTTTCTGTAAAAATATTATGGCACGGTATCAACACCAAACTCTACGGACGTCAATGGAAAGTCGTACCTCAGTTAATCCTATACTATTACTCTTTAGTATTCTTGTCCCACTGTTGGGCAAAAATAAATTATTATAGACTAAAAAATATTTTGTTTGCGGAATTATGTACATTTTATGGCGCTTTGCTTACTACAAACTTTAGACGAAAACTATTTCATTACATGCAGTATTTTTTTACACAGAAAATCATTGTTTTATGTAATAATTTAAAAGGAACGAAAAGTAGGTACATGATATGTATATTTATTAGTAACTGGTTTATCGGAAACAGCTCTTAATATTTGGATAAGATTTTGTACTTAGACTTATCTATCTGTGATAGTATATTATTTTTAAAAACTGCTTACTCTAAATATATATTTTCATATTTTTTGTTTTTTCAATAATTTTTTGTGCCTTTTAGTTGTAGTTTTTTTTTTTAATAATCTCATGGAAATCACTCACAAGTTATATTATACAAGTTTTAATATAAATCACTATCAACCTAAGATGTTTTTAAAGGTATAGATACGTCATACTCGCTCTAAAATGGCAATAAGAAAGTAAGGTAATTGCCCGACCCGCATTCAGTCGGGTACGCACTCGCGTCGCGACTATAGGTACCTTCGCTACATCGCGTATATCTTCTAATTATTCGTGGCAAAAATGCCTTCCTGTGTTTTTAAGTGGTGCACAAATTACACGGCATCTGTTATAGACAAGAAAAACTTCTCACTAATATTTTGAATATAGATGTTTTGTTCATAATTGGTTTTATTATTTCAACACTAACCGCTAGTGTAAACTTTGACGCTAGCTAGTGTGTTCATTTTGGTCGTGCGCTCGCGCCAATGAGCGCTCGGCAGTAATCAACACGCAACTAATGATGTATATTCATCTTTTTCTAACGATAGGTATCATCATTTGTCTCTTTTTGTTAGCGCAACGTGTTATAATAAATAACTGTACGTAGATATAGTGCTACCTGCGCCACTTTAAAATACAATAATGTTAGTGTGTAACCTGTCTATCTTTTTTAATACGTCTTTGCTATCAACAATATTTATCTCGAAATCAAAATATTTGCCTAATTTGTGCTCAAGTAATTCAACAAATACGATATATTTGTTAATTATAATCAACTACTAATTAACCAAAGGAGTCTTTGAAATATTTAAAAATAATATATTTTTTTAGTTACTGAGTTTGAGCACTGGTCAAGCCGGTATAAACCTGTTACTCTATGTACATAACTAGCCGCCAGTGCACACGTACACACGCGCCTCAAGCTTGTAGTAGTGTACCTATCATAGCGCAGTTGTATGAAGCTTTGTCTCTGTTTCGTTTCTTTACTCATGTGCGTAAGGGAATAAAGAGTGTTTACGCATACACTCGTGCAATATAATCCTATTCTGTGAAGATGGCTAGTCTCCGTTGTGTTTAGACGCCGTGACTGAAATTCGGTACGAGGGACATTACACACCAGAAACCAAATTATTTAAATTTGACGGCTCCGTAGAGTATGGGTTAAGCGTTTGGTCGCAGCGCTGCGGCAGTTCCGCACGGAACACGCGTTTGTATGGTGTTCTAGTGCAATATACAGGTTGTCTGGTAATCAATGGATAACCTTGAAATGGGTCTAATGTCCTTAGGAACAGTAAAGACATTCCTATTGTTATTTAAGCACCCGCATGCTATGCAGTACCTTTTGGCTTTTTGAGAGGCAATACTTGAATAATAATTCAAATATAAATATCAAGTGCCTAAATACTTATAAGAGAAAAATACTTTTTTGAACACGCACGTGACAACTTCACAGAATTAGCCCGTTGTAGGGGACCGTGCAGCAGCGTAGGTATATCTTCATGCCTAAAGCGCGGAGTGAGACAGGCCTGGTTCTACCAAGACCCATTTCAAGGTTAACCATTAATTACCGGACACCCGATATAAGAAAACTGACTCCACGATAAAAAGAAAATCCTACGGTGGTAATTAAAAAAAAAAATAACTTCCTAGTAAGCAAAAATAATAGAAAGTTAACCACCGCTACCTCCAGATTAACAATAAAAAAAGAAAGAAGAAGAATAATCGTCAAGCACGCCTTCATTTGTGAAAGAGCAATGGCAGACTTTCATACATAAAATTAGTTGAGATGAAATGGTAGCGTCTATATACCAAAAATATCTTAAAATGTTAAGCGTCAGTTCCTTAATAACTCTGTCAAAGAATTTTGTACTGAGAAGGCGTGAAAAAAAAATATTTACGTTTGAACCTTTTTAGGTTATGTCCTATGTCACTTGGAAAAAGTCATGCTTCCTGTGGTTGTTTGATGTTAGCTTAATACATAATACATAATTGAGAGTTTTTAGATTATTGTATCTCTATTATATATTTGCATACTATAAATGTATATTTCTGGCATGGCTCCAGGGCTTTTGTACCATAGTGACATTCTCAGAAGGACTAGAACCCAGAGCCGTAAAGCCAGTAAAAAAAAAACAGTTACATTTTATTTTAGCTAGTGTTGGCATAACATTAAATGGAATTGTTACATAGTACTATGATTGAGATAATGTATTATTGTAGGAAATTCTTTGTAAGAGACTTATTCTCAGCCATAACACATTTATTTTTGTTATTACTGATAGTACAGTTATTACTAATAATAACTTAATATAAAATATTTTGTGTGTTGTGTTGATAGTTTTACAAAGTGTATACGAAAATAGTATGAATATACTAAATGGCAACATTTGAATAGAGTAAAATGATAATATAGTGCCACCAACTTATCTGTTCAGGTGGACAAAATTGGAACTAAAACCGCCATTTTGTAAATGACATTTCGCTGTCAGCTATTATTTATTCCGAGCTATCAGGTGAGTGTTTTTAAAAAGTGTAACTAAATCTTAAAAGTGATGCGCAATAGATTATCCTAAAAGTTTTATCTTTTATGAAAGAAGACAAACGTGTACAAGTCCCAACTATACCATTTGAAAACCTGTATGAAAGCGTTGCTGCCGTGACAGGTTAGTATTGCCAGATATGGAAAATTAAAATCACCAAATAATGTACTTGTGAAACAGTAAAAAAATTATCTCAATTTACTGCAATTCATCTAAAGTACCTAACTTTGTAGTTTGTGTTGCGAATGTAATAATGCCCCAATTAATTGAAGATTCATTTCATGAAATTACACCGGGTCAGTGGAAAAACATTTGTAATCATGTAAAAAAAATTGAAAATGAAGAAAGACTAAAAGACGTGTATTTAAATGAACCCTTTATTATAGAGCGTCAGAGCGATAGTGAAAGCGATTCCAGTGATTCAGGAGATGAATTATTGGAACCAGTAGCTAACGCGGGTACATTTTTCAAAACAGAAATTGCTAGAATTCGGCCGCTTGAACTCGGAGATCACGACCACATTTATTTTTATAAAATATAAATAATATATATAATAACACTAATTCTCATTAATTTTAATATATTAACACGAAATTTGTTTTATTTTATATTATGTGTAATGAATATGTAGTTACATATTTCCTCGGTAAATTTGTTAAATGGCAATAGTAAGTACTCCACTAGCGACGCTGTCAACTGAACAGATAAGTTGGTGGCACTATAAGTCATTTGATATTCCCAAAAATGTTTGTTTTTTACTGTGGCTTTAATTAAAATACATTTTTATTTGTAATATTATAGAAAAATAATAAAACTCATTTTATATTTAACTTATTTCTAGACGCTATAATTTTTGTCAACTATTTTTCTGCCATTGCTCTTTGTATCATTGACTGAATTAAAAGCCTTATTCTACCTTTATTATTTAGCAGGCGTTTTTAAAATTAATGAAATGAACAACCAAGGAAGTTTTTGACAAACATTCTGGAGTGTCACTTTTTAGAGCTGCAATGAGCCGTTGCAGATTTGAGTTTTTGACCAACTGTCTTCGGTTTGACGACAAACAAACTCGTGAGGAAAGGCGTGCAAACGATCGCTTGGCTTCACTCCGAAAGATTTTTGATAAAATTATTGTAAAGTGTGAAGAATTGTACTCGCCATCTGATTTTTGCACCATTGACGAACACCTACTGACTTTTCGTGGGCGATGTCTCTTCAAAATGTATATACCTTCCAAACCGGATAAGTATATAAAATATTGATGATTTGTGATGCAAAAAACCGCTTATATATTTAAAGTTATTGTTCCTGAGTATTATGTCGATGAACGTTCAATGTCAATAGAAAGATCTTGTCGTAATATTACAATGGACAATTGGTTTACCAGCATCCCTTTAGCCAAAAATTACTAGAAAAGGACTTGAGCATGGTCGGAACGACACGCAAAAATAAAGGTGAGATACCACAAGGAACAAAATACTGCTATGTTTGCATACGATGGAGCACTAACACTTTTATCTTATTGTCCACCTAAAAAAGCTCAGAAAAAGGTTGTAATTATGCTCTCAACTCTCCACGATACTCCAGATAAAAGCAAGGAAGTTCAATTGTCAGAAATTATAGAGTTTTATAACAAAACAAAAGGAGAGGTGGACGTTTTCGATGCAATGGCCAAAAATACTCTGTCCAAAGGAAAACCAAACGTTGGCCATTGTGCTTATTTTACGGATTATTAAATGCAGTGGATATTAACTCCTGGGTCCTTTACAATTGCACAAGGGCATATAATAAAACAAATATAAAGTTTTGACGCACTTTCTTAAAAAGAGATCATTGGAAAACATTTGGAAGAACGTTACCTAAGACCAAATTTGAGGAGGGATATGAAATAGATCATTGCAGCGATTCTCCAAAAAACATCAGATTTGCCTAGGTCTCTACACCAGACACCAAGACGTGGCTTTTGTCCAAGATCTAATGACCGAAAAAGCAAAACGATGTGCTATAAATGTAAAATACCCATTTGTTCGGATCATCAGATAAAGTTTGTGAAATATGCTCAAATTAACACTAAGATTTTATTTTAAGACTGATTTGTTAAAAGAAGTTCCTATTATTTGATAATAAAAAATATTTTCATAACATTGGTTTTTATTTAAAAAAATTACACACCATTTTGTATGGGATACTCCAGGACCCCAATGTAGGAATAGCTGGTGCCCAGAATAGAGTAGAGTTCTAGGGTTAATACGAAAACTCCGTTTTAATTACAATATACTAAATGTGTTGTTCCCAAGCCTGAAAAACATATTTTGAAGGTGGTTTCACCGTTAGAAGTATCGTGTTGTCGTAACTTTCTTTGCCCATACACATTTTGATGTCAATATGGTGAAAATTCCTCTACGCAGGTCTCTGAGCCAGGCAAACCAATATTTTTTGCAACCTGTGATACTAGGTATTATATAGCTTCCTTGATCCCTATATTCTAATTCATAATATTGCCATACTTTTAAAAAGATGCATAATTCTATTATTAAAGAAAATATAAACTAACTGTCTATTTCAATAAAAAAATAATATGTTGTTAAACTGTGCATAGACTTTAAATGTCATAAGTTATGGTTAAGAAAACCATGTAGTAACATCAATATTCTTTTACAGGTATTTGACGAAGCGGTTCGTGCAGTTTTAAGACCGGAACCTCAGAAAAGACATCAGAGGAAATGTTTAATCATGTAAATATCATCCGTGACCAAAATATCGTTAATGATTTACACGCGCAGGAATCTCAAACAAACAGTAATAATATGTTTCTTAACCAATATCCCTAAACCGACGTAAAGTTAAAAAATTGGCTCAAATGCATGCTTTTATTTTGTTTATATGTTGATCAACACAAAGGTAATTTTGTGCCATATTTTCTATCTCGATTGCATTTTAGTGTTATAGTATCAACTTCTACATCACAATAAGTTTTATTTATTCTGTCAGTATAATGTAAGCAAATGGAAAAATGCCAAAGATTTATGAATAGATGTAAGTTTCAGTTTTTTCTTTAAATTTTAAAAACCCTTCAACGGTTGGAAACAAATTGTTACTGTTAAATTAATAGAACTGATTATATTTATTACTTTTATAGTATACGCAAACGAACCTCACGTTTCTGCGAAATCAAACTTGACGTTTTGATATTGTATTATTCTTATGCAATTTGGGAATAAGGACTGATTGTAGATGCTAGTTATGTATATTAACATACTCAAATGTCTTATTAGTTGCGAGAAATAGTGTTTTATACCGTAGGCGTATTATGATTAAAACAGTTGTTGATTTCTCTATAACTTAGATATAGCATATATATATATATATATATATATATATATATATATATATGCTAACGAACATATTTTGTTAAAAATAACTGAATCACCTACTTTAAAGGTTATACGAGACAATGACAAAGTCTTACTACAATTACCTGTATTGACCGTTTATTTTTCTAAACTTTTCCTTACAACATTTTCAAATATATATAGAATATTTTGATTCTCAACCAAACTTCTTTTAAATGCTATTAGACTGGCAGTTGTAAATTTAAAATGGACCACAGCTCCAGGAATGAGTGTGGGGAGGGCTCATGAGCTAATGACGTCAATAGATATTTCTGCTTGTTTTAACATTATAATAGTAGGTAACGAATTCCAAGTAAGATTTTACGCAAGTTATTTTTACGTCTAAGCTGTCTGAGATATTTTTAATTTTTTGAGGACATAGGAAGTCCGGCAACACATATTGAAGTAGCGAGGTAGACTTTTCCCTGTATCCAAACCTCTTTTAAAATGCGAATCTTGTGCGCAGCTTTAGATCCCCTATGTAGGGTGCTACTTTACTCTTTGTAGGATAATTAAAGTTTAGTAATTATGTGTTAAATTACACAAATAGTACATATTTAAATGAAAACAGCAATATAACATCATACTGAGATATAAAGGAAAACCAAACTTAGTAGAAACCAGACTTGCATCTGCTCAAAAATGCAGCCTGTCTAATAGCATACATCGAAGTCTTTATTTTCGATCCTACACAGAACGTTTCGCGGCTATGCCACACGGAGTAAAAGTACTTTAAATATTTTAGCTAGACAACATTTTTGCTGGCCTCCTGGATCCGGCCAAATTTGAACAAAATACTAAAGGAACATTATATAATTTTACATTTTATTTTAGGAAAATTAATCGTAATGAATTTTAACACCAACTTTCTACATCCTACTAAAATGTCGGAATTAACATTTATGAGATATCTTTGATTATTAACTAATAAGTAACTAATAAGCCCACATACCAATTACTTTCTTCACTGTATTACTTATAAGGACATAATAAAAATTGTATGTATTTAAACGAATCTCTGCAGTGAGCAAAACAGTAGGCGAATTTGGACATGGAACAATTAATTAAACATTTGTTTGTTGCGAATATATATATATATATGAATGTATGTGTATTAAAAGTCTACGATTGTAAACTATTAATGGAAAGAAAGTTACAAGTGCATCGATGGCGATTTAAATCTCTAGTTTTTTGTCCGCTTATGTGCCTTGAGTTGAAATACTATTGTCAACAACTGTTCGCTCAGTGAGGCTGTCATTAAAATCTTCCATAAACTTCGCAATGTAACGCCGGGTGCGTTATGCCAATTGTGAAGAATGTTGTGAACTAAATACACGTCAGATACCTTAAACATTGATGGTAAGGATGTGAATTAAAAAGTATCAACTGGCAGAGAAATTATCAAATGATTGAGGATTTGCATAGAAGAACATGGATCACATGTTAAAAATTCAAAATACAAAGTACAAAATGGATAATGATTTCTTATATTTACGCGATGACTACACATTAAATGAAACTAATTTTTACGGATTTTATCGCGTTTAATTTAACTTTTTTAATACCCGACGTTGCGGGTGCTTTACAGCACTCATGGTCACGGGGGGGACTAAGGTGTTCGACGTCCCGATGTCATAGTTAGCTCGGCTACCTTCAGTTTTTGAATATTAATTTTTTTTTGGTCCGACACACAGAATGAGCTTATAGTATCTTGAAGTCTTGCAGTGGTATGCTTGGATTTGGATTTAATTTTATTAATTATAGGATCCCAAGCAGATGCAGTACCCATCCATCTTCTTTATTGAAGTTAGGCTGTTTTTTAATTTCAATAGCCTCGCGAATCATCCTTGGTAGGAATCGGTATTCTTTTGCGAGGCTTTGTTGTCTATCAAATCTAATGTAATGGTGGGGACGATCTTGAACATGTTCACACACTGCAGACTTCCCGGAACCTAGGTGCTTCAAGTCATTCTGAAGAATATTAGAAATGTTAATAAAGCAACAAAGAAACTGAAAGGTTTGACTGTAACTGAACTGGTGCAAGTTATGAAGAGTGATGTTGAGGTTTTGACAAAAAAAGGTTTAAAGTATTACTGTTACACCAGTTAATGAATTTAATGTGAAGAGGCTTAGTTTTCTTGCGTCTTTAAATGACAATGTGCCATAATGGTGATGTCATCCCGAAGCAATCCAATACAGAACAGCTTAAAATCTACGCCAGCAATTAACTCGCCGTTTACATGTGAAATTCAATAAAGTTGTGTTAAATAATGCGCTAGACTAGGATATGCCGATCATTTGGCATACGAAATTAAAAAGCAGTGCTGGAACAACTACAAACAGGCGGATAAAGAACGCTAAAGGCGACTGTATACGCACGTCCAGTATAAAGCTATTCACAAAAGTTGTGGACGCTCCGCAACGGCTTCGCGTCACTTTGATCCACGAACTTTGCTACGCTGCCACGTAGCTGATCGATGCCGAACTTTGCATCGATCAGCCACGTGGCACTTTGTTGTGTAAGATATGGGCACACATGAGATATCGAGATGTCACGATTTGGAGATCTATTACAAGTACTGCTACAAATGCACCAAATGTGGATACAGCATAAATCCCCATTCTAAATCAATCGTTGTTACTAAGGATGCTGTGGATACTGTTGGGGGACATTCTAAGTGATAGTTAACAAAAAGAACAAAGATGGTGTCGTAGTTTCCATGCCAGCGAGGAAGGGGGGACTTAACGTATTTGCATTATACGTGAGAGAACTATGGAACCCTAAAAGATGGAAAACCAGGACTCATGCTCAAGTTATGAAACTTCTCGGCGAACAGTTCTCTGCCATAAAGAAGACACCCTGTGAAGATAACATAGTCGATACGGATATATGACGGCTTGAGTAAATTCTCTTTAAATTATCACTCTAAATACAAAGTTATTATGATTAATTGTTTTGAATCACTTAATGGGATAGCGGTACATTTGACAAAGCATAATGATCTAGCGCCATTTAGCGAACTGCAATGCGATGATAGCTTCAAGACATTGTCACTACATGGCGTTGTTTGGAGTTACCATAATATTTCAATTAGTAGAATTAATTGAAGTATAATAATCTTTAAACTAGACAATTTCTTTTGTACAGTGCCAGACTTTATAACTAGTCAAAAAACGTTTTGTTCTTCGTTGTGTTGTTTCATTTGATACTAATTATATTTTAAAACCTATTTATTACATATTTGGCAACTTATTAATGTCGTCGTAGGTTGATATACTATTTTCATCATTGCAATAATAATAATAATAAGCAAAACATACTATCTACAATATTTTAAGTACCTTCCCTCCTTGTGGTATAGCCGTGGGAGGCTTTCTATTATGGATAGAGTAGATTTAATCCATATAATTGAATAATTTTTAAATTTCGTTAGCATACTCGACTATCAACTGATCTTGTCAGATACATGTGGACTACAAACTAAATTTTCTTATATTATGTCGATACTTCCGTATATTTTATTTATCTTCTCTCTATCAATTTCTATGAATTACCAATTTAATGCTAAACCGTGTATTAAAAATTTCTAATGCAATTCCTTTTTCAAGCCGGCTTCAGGGTCAAGATCAATCATAACGAGACTTGTTTTTCGAAAGTTAGGTATATTTTTCATTTAAAGACTAGGTACCTAATTTATAAATGTTGAAGTGATACCATTTTGCTTTAAACTTTTAGGAGCTGTTATTATATTCAAACCACAGTACAACGTTCTGAGGTATGGTTATAGTCATGATTATTCATTTTTATTAGAAACAATAAATGGAATTTTGAATGAAACTAGTTTTTACATAGCCACGGTAGTCTGAGGTGATCGATGTCCCAATGTCGTAGTTAAAACGTCTGGAATTTAAAATAACTTAATAGATTCGATAAAATCCGTAAAAACTAGTTTAATTCAATGTGTAGAGTTCGCGTAAACTTAAGAAATTATAATGAATGGAATAAAAAAATAAGTAATGAACAATTAATTAATCATCCATAACAATTAAGATGTTTTTAATTATCAGTTAAAGCTGACAGTTAACAAATAAGGATTTATAAAGTATTTGTTTCCTTGATTTATAAAGTATTTGTTTATAATAACGATTTCAGTTATATTGTATTTTTTAGTTTTGTATTATCTTTAGATAGGCATGTGATGAAATCGTGTGTTTTATAGGGATTTATTAGGTCAAAATATTTTTGTATGTGAAAAACATAGCTTAAGGGGTAACAAAGCATTTAGTGTGATCTGATTACATCGCATCGATATTTTTGACTGCTTTGTTTTACAGTGTAATGTGTATATAACTATTCAATTATTTATATAAAATGCGCAATTTAAAATAAAACATGTGTAATAATTCTACTTGCACTTCATAAATTATTAAATTTAAAACAAGCGTATTATTTAATCCAACCCTTTCTTTTATTATAAATAACAACACAATTTCGTACACTTAATTTATTTACGTAATGTAACACATATACATGTCATTGAAACAATATAAGTATATAAGTATGGATAATAATTACAGTAGATTATCAGTTGTAATATTTTGTATACAAAAGGTATTAATAAAAACATTTGCGACGACAAATTCCGCGAAAATACAAAATCGGTATAAAACCACGATCTGGAAATCAATTGTTCCGTTAATTCTTACGTTATTTTCACTTAAAATCATAAGAGATTAACTTCTTGGGATTTTAAAAAATAATGATTCTTGAATGGCTGAAAAATCACGGAGCGATTTTCGCTCGTGCCCGCATTAGCCTCTATTAATTTTTTTTGCTCCAGAATAGCATTAATATTCTCGGAATACAGCCATTAATATAAACATCAAATGATATAAAAAAAATTAAATTCAGGCCAGAATAAAAAAATTATTTAAGATTTTAATACAAAGTAGTAATGTGTACTTATTGTTCAAATTTAGCTGGCTATAGGTATGACAAACGCAGTGTGACACCAATACATTTGACTCATACACTTGCACACCAATGAAAGTTTTCCACATACTAAATAATTCACAGATCCTAAATTTAACAGAACAATTGCTATTATGTGCAAAGTATTTAGTTTAAGGCAGAAAGAAATATGATCATAGTGACACTATTTAATTATACTTATATACATAAAATAGAATACAAGAATATGACCAACATCTAACAGTGATATAGGTAGTTACTAAATTAATTTTGAAAAACATGTTTACATATTCCAACTCTTTCTATTAAATTTTAAAACATATTACCTAGAATTAAATGAAAATGGATAGAAAAGCAAATTTTTGTTAAATCTTTAGACAACAATGTTTGTAATTAGTAAGATAAAGTAATATCGTAAATAAATAAATACATTAAAAAACTGACTACATTAATTTTATAACCTTTAATGATCTATAGAACAAAAATGCTTATTTTTTATTGTAACCTTAGGTTTCCGACACAGCATGTCGGATTTGCAACTATAGGCTAGGTATAATTATCTGCGAATCTGTGATAGTCAAGCAAGAGGCTATTAAGTGAGAGAGAGAGAGAACAGATCCCGCTCGGACATGAAGGCATAGAAATGTAGGGCCTCGACAGCCTAATGAAGTGACCCTGGGGAGGATGATGACTAGATGTGGTCTCGTCATGAGGGTCATTAGCAAGCAGGATGAGCTAAATTCGCAGTATAGCGGTAGAGGAGCTGCAATCGCATTCTATATTTAGATCCAGTAACTCCTTGTTTACAATGACGGCGACCACTGTGAGGTTAAGTCAGTATGAGTCTGATTTTTACCTGCCTGCTTCCTAGGTATTGAAGTTGAATACATGAAGTTTTTCCCACATAAAAAAAGATTTTCCTTCAATTTGCTGGCATTAGTTTGTAGGCTCACATGAAAAGTTAATGTACAATACTGAATGTCATTTCAAAATTAAAACATTGCAAAGCTTTTGTATAGTGTACATGATTTTTTTCCAAATATAACTACTAAACATACAACCACAAGACCAGTAGACGATTAAGTTCTAATTTATACAAATAATAAATGCCTCACAATAGGAAAAAATCGACTTATAGGTACCTAGTAATCGGAAAGCATATGCTATTTTTGGGTTAATGCCTTAAAAGCATAGCCAAATTTAAATTATGTGTTTCAAAACACTACACAACACAAACCCACCAATTACTGCCTATGTGACATCAGTCACTTGTTTTACAATAACAAGTTAATGCACACACAATTCAATTATAATGGTTAAAAGATTACCAATTCTTGTTCAGATATTGCTGTTTTAATAAAAATTAATTGGTGATGTTATATTTTTAGTGTAATTCTAAATCCACTGATTTTGAAATTGAGAAATAACTTCCATTATCATATTATGATACAATATTACCTAATCATACAAGTATAATTTACTGAAAATATTAACAAAAATTTTGTGACATCTTAAATAATGATAATAATAATTTTAACTAAAGGGTGACATATCACATCTTTTAATATTTGTCATGTGTTGATTGATCCTTAACAGAAAGTATCATATCTCTGAAGTATTTTCCTTATCTTATCAGTTTAAAAATAAATATTTAAAGAAATTATTATATGTATTAAGTTATGAAAGTAAAAAATCAAATTGAAATACCAAAAATGCATGTTTTGGACTAGACTGATGCAAAAAATATAAAATTATTTTGACCACAATGTCTAAGAAGTAAACATATAACAATAGTATTAAGATTTTCTTTAAAGAGGAGTGTATTGCACATTTACTACACATAATAAAATATGTATGTACATATTATTTCATATACCAATAAAACCATTTAAGCATTTGTGATTTTGATTAGCATTAGTGAAGAAGTTTTATATGCTTCCAGTTGTTATAAAACATTAGTTTTACATGTACTCTATAAAAAGCAGACTTATAAATTCTAAATCTAAACAAAATATGAAAATATTATGAACTATAAACAAAATACTGGTATCATACATTAATGTTTACCTGAGCTATGGATAGAGTTAAAGCAATACTACAACATTATTGAAATGTAACAACAATTATATAAAATACCTTATTAGAAATATTTTTGAAGATAAAATCATTACACAACTAATGTTACACTACACATCATTTCTGATTACTTTTATTCTTTCATATTTAGGACAAGATGTAGATATGGAAGAAAAACACTTATTAGTTTAAGTGCCCTCACTTCGTAGTAGGTCATCATCTTCCTGATATCACATAGCCCTATATGGACCTTGAGACTTCAAATATTGGATGACTAATGATGGCCCTGAAGAAACAACTTCAGGAGGGATAGCAGTCAATGGACAATTTTCAATACTCATTATTTGTAAGCTGACACAAAGAGCTAATTCAAAAGGTAAGTTACATAAATTTGGATTGTCGTTCAAATATAATGACTCCAAGTTTTCCAAAGTACCAATCTCTTCTGGTAAATACTGTAGATTATTTTCACCAACACTCAAAAATGTAAGATTGATCAAATGCCCAATGGAGCGAGGTAATGAAGTCAGCTGATTGGATTGCACAATTAATTTTTGCAAGTCATGTAAAAAACCTATTTCATTTGGCAGAACTTCAAGTTTGTTTTCTTCCAGGTCCAAAACTCTAAGCTTCCTTAGACTACCAATGCTGGGTGGAATACGTTTTAATAAATTATTAGATAATATTAATACCTCTAAATTTTGCAGACATTGAATATCATCAGGTAATTTAGTCAACTGATTAGTGCCTAAGTTAAGCTCAACCATGTTTATCCAAGTACCTATATCAAGAGGTAGAGATGTAAGCAAATTTTCTTTCATATTAAGCTTAGTTAAATTCTTGGCTCTAGAAAATATACCATATGGAATTTTGTCAATTTGGTTGTGCTCCAGATTTATGGAAAATGCTTTAGTAAATTGAGCAGGACCACCGGAAGGATAACTCATAAAAGAGTTCCTAGATAAAGTAATACTAGTCAATTCATTAAGACTGGCAAGAAGTCCGTCAGGAAGCTGAGATATGGAATTACCTTCAACATTGAATTCATCCATATTCTTGCAATTACTCAATGTTGCAGGAATACCTGTTAGTCTATTATATCGTAAACCTAACCGAGACAGAAAATGCAAGTTTCCTATTGTCTCTGGAATATCCAATAATTCATTGTGTTGCAGATCTAAAGTTGATAAATTAACACAATAACCAATTTCTTGAGGCAGATGTTCTAAGTGGTTATGGGAAACATCAAATGTTACCAAATTAACCAACTTACCAATTCCAGATGATAATTCCTTGATCTTATTTTCTCTTAAACTGAGCATAGTTAAGTTTGTCAGATTGGCAATACCATCACCTACAACCCGAATTCTATTAAATCTAAGAAAAAGTGTTGTTAATGATGTCAATCTGTAGACAACATCAGGAATGTCACTTAACTTATTGTGTCGTAAATCTAATACTTTCAGACACTTTAAATTAGCAAGAGAGTCAGGTAAGCTTGTCAAAGAATTTTCATTCAAAGCTAGAGTTTGCAAATTTGTTAGGCAACCAAATTCCGCAGGAAGAGCAACTAATTTATTTCCGTATAAATAAAACTCCACCAAATGTGTCAGGTCTCTAACATTTGGAGGTAATGAAGTAATAGAAGATTTGCTAAGATCAAGTCGCTTAACTCCTTCATCACGGCATCGCATGAACTCTTTAATAACATCCAAATCAGCTTGGATTGGTTTGTTCTTTTTAGCGGTCGGTTTAGGCTTATTTGATTCAGGGTGCTTGACAGTAACCACTTTTGGACGGGCTCCCTCAGTATTAGTCAATGACGCAGTTGATAGTTTTTTTTCCCTCATACTGTGATATTTTTCTCTGGGACTGACAGTACCAATGGAATCCAAAGCTTCTGAATTTTCTCTCGATGAATTATCGAGATTCATTCCGATAATGTGTCACTTGACTTTATCTGATGAAGTCTCAGGTGATGGTTTAAAAGTATTATTCCCTTAGCATTATGTTCATTTTAGGCACTAAACAATCAATATCACACACTGATACAAATTTGTTCGTTTATGAATAAAATTTGAAAACAATTTACGTTTTCAATTGTAATTTGGTTTCACTTACACAAAGAATCCTCATAAAATTACGATGTTCTAAAAATAATGAAAATACAATGAATTCATTCTAGTTTAAAATGTCTTAAAAAAATTGAAAATTGTATATAAATTAATCAGCCACAGACTCACAGACATAGATTATTGTATATTTAATAGAGACTTCACAGCCTAAGGGTATTAGTGTTCTGTGCTTCACAGAACAGAGACAGACCATTTAGCAAAGAATATCCATATATAGTTTAGCTACACTACATATTTATTTATCTATGGTGTAGCTAAGCTTAGTTGGTCCAGTTCGTTGATAGGGGACAAGTCTATAGTCCAATTCAAGTGTTTCTATATAGTTTGTGGTCCAATTACTGTATGCCTATACTAGAATTATTTTGTCCGTGCATTTTGGGTCATAAATCATCGGATTATTTCGCTCTCTCTCCCACTCACGGGCCTTAGGGGCGAACATAGTGATGCACATTATTGTTATCGATAAGCGTAATCGATAGTGTATTTAGTTTTGTCATTATGAGGGTTAGTGATAAAAATGAAAAAAAAATTAGATAAAACAACGTATTTATTAAAATAAGAATAATAGTGATTTAAAATGAATTATTCATTAGATATCTATGTATTAAAAAACTATAAGTACAAATATTTGGAATGTAACAAATAATATTAAAAATAAATATAAATATAAAAATAATAACTTATGTCTAAAATTAAATCTAAAACTATTTACATTATAATTCTACATTAGAACCATTAGAGTCATCGTCATCCACATGAATTACGATATCTTCTGCGAGATGAGATTTCTTCAACTCTTCCTCTTGGAGTTTTTCTGCATGCTTCACACATTCTTCCCAGTTGTTTTGCGAAACGTTTGAAATTGCTTCATGCAGTAACACTTTGGCGTCTGCAATTTAAAAATGCTGCTTTTGGTGGCAACTTAATTTTTTGCTTGGGCCCATACCAACTCAATTGGGTTATATTGGCAATGGTAAGGTGGTAAGTGAACCACTTTGTGTCCTGACTCCAAAGCTAACTGATCCAATTTGTATATTTTTTCTGGTCGGTTCCGTTGCAGCTGTAAATATAATGTTGTTTGTATATTCAACTAAATAAAAGAAAGAAATAGAACACTGGAATTCGTCAATTCTTTCTTTTTGTGTACTCAAAATTTTAGCAGTGGAAGGATATTCATCGTCGCAATATAACGATGACACTATTTGTTTAATTACACTTTTGTCAAAGTCGTCTAACGCAGTTAATGTACAAGGCCGATAGACGCTTTCTTGCGGAGAGCTAACTTCTCTCTTTATATACTCTTTTTTAATATTGTCAACCGCTCTAACACTCACACCACATATCGCCGCAGTAAGTTCACGAGAACGGCAGAAATTAACACTTTGTAACTTTTCGGGATCTATTTTCATTTCAGTAAAAAATGTTAAAGCATTGTTGATAACAACACGTGCTTGTGCTGGTATATTGGTGCCAACAGGCAAAATATTATTTTTAATAAATTCTGACGTTTTGGTACAAAACAAAGGAGTAGCCATTGTGTCACTAAAGAAATTCAGAGAGCGAATGCGCAAAAACAAATTTCTTTTCGACATATGTACTAAATTATCATTGCACTAATTTGCAAGTATTAGGCTGGGGTAATAATGGAAAACAAATGACACATAACATAACAATGTCGCACCATCCTTTGTATATCGCACCGTCGCCGTGTACATGCCTTCGATGATTCATTTGTTATTATCGATAATGGCGTTTGTGCCCGCGCAACATGCTCACCGCACTAGCCGGGCTGATACTGAGCTATGATTTATGACCCCAACTGCACGGACAAAATAATTTTACTTTTTATAGCACTTCTTGTTAGTTTGTGTATATGCGTAACGCAAACATATGAAGTGTTAGATGCGTAAGCATTATATTAGACTGTACTATATGCGTACATATTAGTCTGTGGTTACTGTTATACCTCTCTTTTGAACTGGAACGGTGGAGGATTGCTGCTCTTGTATTATTGTTTAAAATTTAAATAATGGTTTGAAGTGGATTTTGATATGTAAAAGCGGTGCGACTTTGTGTATTAAGTATCTGCACATGTGAACTATTAGTGGAAACGGTGAAACATGTGCTCTGATGGTGATGTGATTCTCAAGATAAGGTGTCTGTCTGTTTACGTGCCTTGAGATACCATCGTCAACTGTCAGCTATCTGCTTGCTCAAGTTGCCATCAAAATCTCCTAAGGACTGCACAATGTGACGCATCAACATATTGTGAAGCAGTGTATTAAAAAGGATAATTATTAATTATTCATTGTATCTTCAGGCCCAGAAGGGTTAGAATCCAGAGCCGCAAGTTATACAAAAAATCTCCGTTAGGAGCTTATGACAGCCATACACGATCAAGTCTACCGTCAAGTTTGCAGCACGCTTGAAGCGGTGTCCGGTAAACTTGACGGTGTATGGCTAGCAGTGTGCATGACAAGTCTACTTGAAGCAAAAATTGAATTTCGATTCTGCCGACTTGATCAAGCTTGCAGCGTCATATAAACTTGAACGTGTGTATGAGCAGTCAAGTATGCATGACGTTAGTCGGCTTCGGCAAGTGATGACGCGCGTATGCGGTATGTAGTCGAATACACCGAAGTGTTATGCAATGTATGTTTTTATTTTGTTAAAAAAATCATTACCTCAACACTAGGATTTTCTCATGTATCGCGGAGGCAGTTAACAAACATAAATTGCACAGGGACAAACAACTAAACCCGGAACAATTATTTGTAGCCCATACAAATACTTATTCCGTGCGGGATTTGAACCCGCGGAGCCGTCAATTTTCTGATAATAAAAACATTATTGTCCAATGTGGGGAAGGTTAATAACATCGAGGTAAATTAATATTATAACGTGAACTTCTTTGAAACTCAGATAATTTACCTACTAAGTATTTTATCCGACTTCAAAAAAAGGAGGAGGTACTCAATTCGACTGTTTCTTTTTAATGAGTGTTACCGCAGAACTTTTTTCTAGATTAATCGATTTTGATGATTCTATTTTATTTGAAAGCTGGTGCTTATAATTGAAACATCCCATATAAATTTGATCAAGATCTGACTAGTAGTTTTGGAATTATCCTTAATAATGCGTATTCGTATTGAAGTCGGTAGTACATAATTTTTAATTTCATTAGTTGTCTCTCTACCTCTCTTTTTAAAAAACGTAACCTCCATACTAGGATTTTCTTCTGTATCGCAGGGACAGTTTACATACATAGAACAGACCTAGAACAATGATTTGTAGGTCATACAAATACTTGTTCCGTCCGGGATTCAAACCCGCGGCCCTTAGCGCTGCAACTCATTACTAAACCACTGCGCCACGGAGCCGTCACTTGTCTCTTTCACATTTTGTGACATTTTTTGCTATTTACTATTGAGATAAATTTTTTCGTTTCATTAACCAGTTTTTGCACCACACAGAACGATCTTTCCTTTTTGTTCTCTTAATTGCGAGCAATAAGCCTTGGATGGCTAACGCATCCTCGTTCGACACTAGTGACGCCATGGTTTCAACTGATAAAGCGGTATCAAGCAAAATTGACGGCGAACTTGATCGTATATGGCATCCATTAAAGAAGTGATAAATTGAACACATGGCTTAAAAGACAAACATCCAAGCCAAAAATCTTAAATAAAAACGTAATTTATTTTGTACAGGATATGGAGTGTAGACAAAACAAAAGTGTAGAGTACAAGGAAAACCATCTTACGCCGGCCAACGGTCATATACACACAAATTATAAAGTTGTATGTACAAGACATATACATACGGAATTCCGTTTCGGAATCTCGAATCGGGATTCCGTGAATACATCACACACACACGTTTTTTTCCGTTCGGAATAACAAGGGTCAGTTGAGAGTAGACATGGGCAATGTGTATCACTTAAAAGAAAAGATTGATATGTATCTTTTGATCACTAGGATATGTATCACTCTTTTATATCTTTATATCCTTATGTATCAGTAGATCAAGCTCGCGTTCATGACCCGCATCGCATTGCGTTGCTCACTCAGCGTAGCTCGCTTCGTTCAACTCAATCCTATCAGTAAGAGTGATAGATACCTATCGACCTATATATAAGACCTATAGAACTGTTTGCATTTTGATTGGTCGTAACATTGTGTATCTTTCTGATATATTTGGCTGCTGTTTCTTTCTAGGTATCTATTTGTTATGATCAAAAAATTAAAGTTTTCTTATTTCTCATACATTTTTTTTTCAGGTTTCCTTCATCGCCGAACACGTGGTAAATCAGCACTTAAAATTGCAATTAACAATTTCATTGGTGCCGGCGCGGCGGGGATCGAACCAGGGTTGCTCGCGTACTGTGAAACTTACAGCGAGCGCTATTATTATTATGATTGATAAATATTAATAGGCACTTATTTGAAAAATTTACTTAAATTTTTAGTTTAAAATAATAATTAAATAAATGATTAACGTAAATAACATAGGTAGAGTATTTTTAATAATTTTAAACTAATATACCTACGGATTTGTTCGGAACCCTGGGTGCGCGAATCCGACTCGCATTTGGCCGTTTTTTTATGGATATATACGACTACTACTTCGGTTATAAAACTTTCTTAAAAACGGTAGTTTTATAACCGAAATTAGTTTGCATTGTTTACTAAAAAAATCATAGGCAAAGTACACATAGGTACAGTTTAAACCAGTATAATACTTAAATGTTAACGAACCGCTTAATGACTTTAAGCCCTATGCACCAGTCATAGAGTTAT